AGCTTGCAAAATTTCTGAAATTTTGTACAGTGTTTTATTAATGTAATATCTAGTAACTGTCAAAATTTTAACACTTTGTCATTGTTTTTAAAGAAATTTTTAATTAACACTCAAGGGAATTAGTCATTTGTAATTATTAACTCGTGTCCCATTTTAAAGTTACTGAATAAATTCCTATTTTCACTTTAAATTTTGCGTGCTATAACTTTTTAAATGATTCCTGGACTTAATTAAAGACGTCTATAATAAGGAAGCTTTATAAAAACCGAACAATCGGCTGATCGAAAAGAAATTGCAGCCGCGTCCGCAACAAGAATCGATCCTCCAGGAAAAACTCGAAACAGACGTCGCCAGTAATCTGACAATGGAAAAACGAAACCGATTGACTCGTCGATCAGTAAAAACTCAATTCCGGATGGGAAAAACGGAGAACTCGTTTTACCCAGCGACGCGAACGGAATACAGAATGAAAAACGTAATTCATCGTCGCGAATCAACATGTTGTCTAACTTACAGGCAATAAAAGTTCAAGTAATTTTCAAAGCAGTAAAATTTGAAGAAAAACAAGGAAAACGTAAAATTTACTAAATTACAATCGTTTTTTTTTTAAATAAGTCCATAAAATCTGTTTCTTAATTATAATATAAAATAACGAAAAATGTATTAGTTGGTCATTGACGACGACGACGACGTGAAAGTCACTGGTCTACGGGAATTAATAACGCGGACCGACCAGTAGGAACCCGTTATAGTCAAGTAGATAAGAACAAAGGGGCGGCGTTGCGAAAGGAAACGGAGGAACGTTAATGGACTTTGCCGGCAGGAGAGCTTGACAAATAGTGGTCGACGGGGGATGAAAGAGCGGCTACGTTTCGTTAAGCGGGCGCTATTAAACGGGTTCAGCCTCACAGATCTGTGAAAATACTATGAAGAACCGGGGAGCGATGCGGGGGAATGGCTCTTTTGCGGTCCCCCGGTTCGAAGATGTATCGCACGTCAGAAGCAGGAGAACGGGCAGGGAAATTTGACGAACGAATATCTACTGGCTACACCCCTGTTACCGAGAGTCTAGGACCGTTTCGCACAGCTTGAAAGGTGATGGGGGTCGAAGCGAACTCCCTCCACACGGTTCAGTATACACCGTAAAGTATTGAGATGCGCAGAACGATTAAAAACTGAACTGTGTCCGGTCCTATACTCTCAGGAACACGAGTATAGAACCGTTTCGTACAGTCTGGAAGATGGTGACGGTCACAGCGAAACCCTTCCGCACGATTCTAAAGCATTGAGATGTGCAGAAGGTTCAAAAACTGAACTGTGCCTGTTCCTAGACTCTCGGGAATATGAGTATACATTTACGTACGACTGGCGAACGAGATTTGAAAACGACGGGTTGAATTAAGGACGTTAGTCCCGCTCAGTTGGTCTCAATCATTTCA